TGGTATGTTTGGTTGCGGTGATGATGATTGCGATGATGATGATGACTATGTTGTTGATGATGATGGTGATGATGATGTTGATGATGATGATGTAGATGATGATGAGGATAATGATGATGATGATGATGATGATGATGATGACGATGACGATGACGATGATGATGGTGGTTATGATGACGATGATGATGATGATGATGATGATGATGATGATGATGATGATGATGATGATGATGATGATGATGATGATGCTGGCGGAGCAAATTCAGAGGTTGTCTCGAGCGAGGCGCGGGTTTCAGCACCCCCAAGGGGGAGCCGCCAGGGGGTATTGCACGGCGTCCGTTCGCGCCAACATGGCAGGGATCCATCGAACGGTGTGTTTGCTTTGGTGCTTAACATCCTCCGTTTTCGAAGCAGACTTGGAGGATGCCTCGAGCGAGGCGATCAGTTAGGGCCCCCACAGGGGAGCCGCTAGGGGGTATTGCACGGCTTCCGTTCGCGCTAAAATGGCGCGGATGGTTCGAGCGGTTTGTTTGTTTCGGTGCCGCGACAACCTTCGCGTTTGAAGCAGATGTTGAGGATGTCTCGAGCGAGGCGCTCATTTTCGCCCCCAAGGAGGGCCAGGTGTTGAGGACGTCTCGAGCGGTTTGTCTAGTTTGCTGGCCAGACTCGTAGGCACGGATCCTCTTCAGGATGCCATGGAAAGCTCCAGCAGGCTCCAGCAGATCAGACCATATTCTAAAGATATCTCGGGTGACGTTTCCTTTCGCGCCCAGACTGCATGGATGTCTCGAGCAGTTTGCCTGTTTGCGTCAGCAGCATCTTCCGTTTTCGGAGCAGATTTGGAGGATGTCTTTTTCCCACAAGACCACGGGCAGGATGATGCACACAAAATATGATGACGCCGATTGATGGTAATAAGAGTGTGATGGATTACAGCGATGTTGATGCATATGATGAGTGGTGATGGTGAGTGGTTCTGATGAATATGATGAATGATGCTGATGATATTAATGATGAGGCTGATGCTGATGCTCGTGATGATGATGATGTAGATGATGATGAGGATGATGATGATGATGATGATGACGATGACGATGATGATGGTGGTTATGATGATGATGATGATGATGATGATGATGATGATGATGATGATGATGATGATGATGATGATGATGATGCTGGCGGAGCAAATTCAGAGGTTGTCTCGAGCGAGGCGCGGGTTTCAGCACCCCCAAGGGGGAGCCGCCAGGGGGTATTGCACGGCGTCCGTTCGCGCCAACATGGCAGGGATCCATCGAACGGTGTGTTTGCTTTGGTGCTTAACATCCTCCGTTTTCGAAGCAGGCTTGGAGGATGCCTCGAGCGAGGCGATCAGTTAGGGCCCCCACAGGGGAGCCGCTAGGGGGTATTGCACGGCTTCCGTTCGCGCCAAAATGGCGCGGATGGTTCGAGCGGTTTGTTTGTTTCGGTGCCGCGACAACCTTCGCGTTTGAAGCAGATGTTGAGGATGTCTCGAGCGAGGCGCTCATTTTCGCCCCCAAGGAGGGCCAGGTGTTGAGGACGTCTCGAGCGGTTTGTCTAGTTTGCTGGCCAGACTCGTAGGCACGGATCCTCTTCAGGATGCCATGGGAAGCTCCAGCAGGCTCCAGCAGATCAGACCATATTCTAAAGATATCTCGGGTGACGTTTCCTTTCGCGCCCAGACTGCATGGATGTCTCGAGCAGTTTGCCTGTTTGCGTCAGCAGCATCTTCCGTTTTCGGAGCAGATTTGGAGGATGTCTTTTTCCCACAAGACCACGGGCAGGATGTTCTTGAGTGAGCGGTGGTGAATCGGAGCCGCAGAACATCACGGTTGTTTCGTAGTGGTTAGGATCACCATACCCATACTCAGACGCATTCGCACTCAGGCTTACTCACACTCGGAATCACTCACACTCAGACCCACCCACCTTCATATTCACTCGTAGCCAGACCCACTCGTAGCCAGACCCATTCAGACTCAGACTCGTACTCGTTGTACATACTGATACTCACTCACACCCAGACGTACCCACACTCAGACTCATCTCACTCAGATGCACTCACACTCAGAGCTGCGCATTCTCAAGCCCACTCGGACTCAGACTATCCCATACCAAGACCCAATGGCACTCGCTCCCAACCATACCCGGGTTGACTCACAATCATGTTTTTTCTCATTCAGACCGCTCATGCTCATATTCGCTTAGTATTCTCCCCTTTGGTGGTCCAGTGCCCCCTCGCTCTTCCTCTTGTGCTTCGCTTATCTCTCCTGGAAGATGCCCACTGAAGTCGCTGAAGTAGTCGCTGTCGCGGTCGTCGTTGTCGCGCCCGTCGTCCACGCCGACTCTCGCTCACACCCAGATGTTCACAGACAGAGTTCTTCAGCGAGAAGCGACAGGAGTATGAGATGCACATATGCGGAGCTCCACGCAGTGTATAATTCACTGCGTGCAGTTTCCCCATAAGTGCATCTATTAGCATAGACCTTTCCGCCGTGAGTGTCTTGTCGCAAGAGTTTTCGAACATAAACGGGCTTGATTATTGACGGAGCGAATCTAATTGTGAATGGGTTGGGGTGTGAATGAGTGACAGTACTACGAGCGCGCCTCTGCGCGTGAGCCTGTGGCATCCTGGGGCTTCTTGAAACATCCTCGGGCTTTCTGGTGCCTCCTGGGGCCGTATGGAGCCCCCTGGGGCATCCTGGGGAGGATCCGTGCCCCAGGAGAGGCCCAATATATGGGAACAGACGTAAATAAAACATTGCGGATTAGAGCCGCAGGAGAATGGCAACACACATATATATATATATAGACACAGGAAGACGCGTAAAACACTAAGGACTCGTGCCCCAGGGGAGGCCCAATATATAGGAACAGACGTAAAACATTTAGGATGGTATACAAAAGAGAAGGACAATCTATAGAAACATTCGTATACCATCAAGGATTCGTGCTCCAGGTGAGGCCCAATCCATAGGAGCATACGTAAACCACATGGGATTGGAGCCACTCTTGTAGCCTTCTGACGCCTCCTGTCGCCTCCTGTGGCCTCCTGTGGCCTCCTGCAGCCTCCTTGAGCATCCTGGAACCTCCGTAGGCGTCCTGGAGCTTCCTGGGGCCTCATGGAGCCTCTTGGGACATCCTGTGGCCTCTTGCGTCTTCCTGTGGCCTCCTGATGCCTCCTGGGACCTCCTGTGGCCTTGTGAGCCCTCCTGCTCCTGGGGGCTTTCGGGGCCTCCTTTTGCCTTCCGGGGCCTCCTGGCGCCTCCTGGCGCTTACTGTGGCCTCCTAGGGCCGCCTGTGGCCTCCTGAGGCTTCATGGAGCACCCTGGAGCCTCGTGAGGCTTCTGGAACTTCCTGGGGCCTCCTGGCCTGAGACATCCTCAGGATCTGCTCTGCTCTGACCGCAGACGAATCTGGCCACCCACACAGGCAAACCGCTCGAGACACCCTTGCAGTCTGGCCCCCTCTGGTAAGCAGCACCGTCATCATCATCATCATCATCATCATCATCATCATCATCATCATCATCATCATCATCATCATCATCATCATCATAATCATCATCATCATCATCATCATCATCATCATCATCATCATCATCATCATCACCACCACCACCACCATCATCATCATCATCACCATCAACATCACCATCACCATCACCATCACCATCACCATCACCATCATCATCATCATCATCATCATCATCATCACCATCATCATCATCATCATCATGATCATCATCATCAACATCACCATCACCAGCAACATCAGCATCATGATCAGCATCATAGCAGCCATGATCTCCATCATCAATAGTGTCATCACCATCATTCTTCGTCATCCTCGTCCTCATCGCCATCATCATCATCATCATCAGCATCATCATCATCACCATCATCATCATCACGAGCATCAGCATCAGCCTCATCATTAATATCATCAGCATCATTCATCATATTCATCAGAAGCACTCACCATCACCACTCATCATATGCATCAACATCGCTGTAATCCATCACACTCTTCTTACCATCAGTCGGCGTCATCATATTTTGTGTGCATCATCCTACTATGAGTGGGATGGGGGAGAGAGGGAGGGGGTGAGGAGGCGGTCCGCGCGGTCTAAGTAATAGCAATGACGCCATCTTTGGATGTGGGGAATAATAAGAACACCCTCTTAGGATGTGAGGACTGACAATAATCCCATTCTTTAGATATGGGGAATAACAAGACACCCATCACCATCTTTTGGATATGGGGAACAACTTCTCAGAAGGCGCGCGGGCTTCTGAGAAGGCCCGCCACCGTCTGAGAAGGCCTTCTCCTGCTCATGTCCCCCCCTCGCTCGCCGACGAGTTAGTGCGTCACGTAGATGTGCATCGAAGCTCGATAGCAGATCATGGGAGGCTTGTATACCCTCGCAAGTCTGTCTTTGGCGTCAATCAGCGTCGGATTAGCGTCTGAAAGTCGAGGAGATAGCGCCGATGTAGCGTCGGCTAGCCTCGATTAGCGTCAATTGTGCGTCGATTAGCGTCGATTTAGCGTCGACGAGCGTCGGTTCGCAAGAGCCGACAATACGGTACAGGAGGCTCCCATGAGTTGCCATCGGATCGACGTATCCAGCTTGACCCCGTGGATTGGAGAAGAGTCGTCCAGCGTGGAGCCGCGCGGGAGTGCTCCTCTTCCTCCTCGCGCGGCGTGTGTGCAGGCGCGGCCGGGCCATTGCGCGCACGTGCGCGCCTTGGAATCTATACCTCCCGCGCCGCCCCTCTCCAAACTACGAGGGTCAAGCTGGATGCTTCGAGGCACACCCATGTGAGACGTTGCACATCCAGGTTCACCGGGGCAACTCTGAAGATGTCGAGAGAAGTCCAGAGCAAGTCGTGGAAGCTCCACCGCGAGTTGATGGACGGCAGACGTCGTCAAGCCGCTAATGCCCGATCCGTTTTCCTCCATCCTCCCTCCTGCGCGAG